TTAACTTTAGAGGGTCTAGTTGCCATCACCCTAGGGATCCAAGGGCAAGATATAGATCAGGAAGACTGGAGGTGGGATACAGTGGGAGACCTTTGTCCTTTGAAGCTAAAGTCTTCAGGAGTTCTCACTTTGAGTGAGGCAAAGCCCAGTTCAGTGATTAAGGCTGGTTTAGAAATGAGAGGTGGGGGGAGGGGGGAGGGGCATCTAGGTGGCTCAATGGATAGAGCAGTGGCCCTGGATTCAGGAGGACCTGAGTTCATATGTGACCTCACACACAACCCTTACTAGCTGGGTGACCTTGGGCAAGTCACTTAACCACATTTCCTAGCCAAAAAGAAATGAGAGGAGGAATGGTCCCTTTTATCTAACAAAAAATAAAATCATTCTGAAAAGGGAAGACCCTCTGGGTTTCTGGCGAGAATAGAAACAATTTCTATTTCCATTCACCCTGAGCTACTGGAGCCCAAAGAATGACCACTAAGTGGTGCTTGTGCTGGGACCTAGAGCCAGGAGAGCCAGAGTGAATTTGGGTTTAAGGTATTGTCTTTAAGAAGGAAATCTAGCCAGTACATTGCAAGGGCATGATAGCCCATATGGACACAGGGAGAGGAGAGGAAGGAGCTTAGTTGCTCCAGTGGAGCTGGCCAGTTGGGTCCCCAGTGAGGCAGCTCAGACTACTTCCTTACAGGTTATTGTTTGTCCTTCATTCTGAAGATTGACATGTCATCAGGAAGGTGGTGCTTTGACTTGCAAATGAATTAGATTTAAGTGAGGGAGCGCTGTACTGGGTCACTAGCCTCACTTCCTCCTTTGAAGCCATTTGAGTCCAGTGGTAAGATACAGATGAGCAAGACTTGAAATGGCCCCCGCTATTGATGGATCTACAACTTGGAGCAGCCATTCTTGAAAGCACTTTGGAATAATGCTGAGACAATTACTAAAGTGTGCACCTTCTCTTTGGCCCAGCGATATTACTGTTAGGTGCAGAGGGATCAGAGAAAGAGAAAATGACCCACATGTACAAAAGCATTGATAGCCGCCTTTTTTTGGTAGCAAAGAATTGGAAACTGAGAAGATTCCCATCGTTTGTGGTATTATTGTGGTATACAACGATGATGGAAAAATATTGTACTGTAAGAAATCCCCCCAAGGAGCTTTTTCGTGGAACCCAAGGAAGCCTTGTATGAGTCACTGCAAAATTGAGTAAGCAGAGCAGGAGAAAAATTTATCCAATGTCAACATTGTAAAGACAAACCACTTTGAAAGATTTAAAAATTCTGATCAGCACAGTGACCAACCATTTTTTTTCTCAAGAGGATTTCTGATGAAATATGCTACTGAACTTCTAACGTTTATATGATTGACTTTTATACTTGACATTCCAGTGAATAATCTGAATTAATTTCTTTAAATATTGACAGATTTCCAAGTGACTCTTAAAAGTATTCTCCAGCATCACAGTTCAAAAGCATGCATTCTGGGATACTTGGCTTTCCTCCTAGTTTGGACGTGACCAATGTGGGAGTTTGTTTTGCCTGCCTATGAGTTGTTATTAGAAGGATTTTGCCTATCCCCACCCCCCACCCCAATGTAGAGGGGGAAGCTGGAGTGCTAGAAAACAGATTTTTGTTAAGGGTGACCCTCCTTTAGACTAGAGGAGGAGGAAGGATGAGAAAAATCCCTTTTGGAATGTGCATGCCTCCCTCTTGGTACCCCATCATGCCTTATTGTCAAATGTGAAGTAAGGGTTTAAGGCTCAAGTTCTTGATTCATATCTCCTTTCTGGGAAGATGCTGTGTTCAAGTGAATTAATCTAGAGAGTGAAGAGGCAGCAAAGTGCAGAGAAAAGAGTAGCTTCTATGTGAGAAGGCTTGCATTTGAGAGTTAGCTGCATCATCATGGATCAGATCTGATCCATTTCACACATGTTTTCATGCCTCTCCAGCTGGGTTCATGGGATATATCCTAAGGTCTCTAACCTTCTTTTTCTCACCTCCCAATCGCAATGATTTTTTTTCCTGCTATTTTTTTTTATAGTCTACCCTTGTCTTGAAAATGAGCTTGTACTCTAAAGTATTGTTAGGTTTCTTCACTTGCTGTATGAAGCCCTGGAAATAAACATGGAATATATAAACATTGACATACATGTGTATGTATATACATGTTTATAAAGCTACATGTGTACACATGAGTTTGTTCAGTCATTTTGAGTCATGTTTGACTCTTCTTGACCCCATTTAGGGTTTTCTTGGCATGGATACTGAGTAGTTTGCCATTTTCTTTCCTAGCTCATTGTACAGATGAAGAAACGGAGGCAAGCAGGGTGAAATGACTTGCCCAGGGTCGCACAGCTTATAAGTATGTAAGGCCAGGGTTGAACTTAGGATGTTGAGTCTTCCTGACTGTAGGCACAGCCCTCCATGCACTGAGCAATCTAGTTGCCCTAGTACACGTGAATACACACATACATATAGGGGATAGCCTTGTTTTTTGTTTTTATTTTTTTTTTTTAAGAAACTATTCTAAACCACAGATTACATTGGAAAAGTGTCATGGTGTGCTTTTCTTTTCTTTTTACACCAGGGCCCTCCCCCTTGGTAGGGGCTTTCCTAAAGCAGAGTCAACTAAAGAGTAGTTATTTTGTTTTGCCTTGTTTAATGCAGTTGGCTTGTCAACGACAAGTTGTGTTAATCAAATCATATTTTAAATACACTTTAGAAGTCTAAAGGACTCTTGTAGTATATGCTTTCAGAAAGCAAAGCCTCCTTTTATGGATATAATAGGTGAATCATTTTGTTAATAAAAATAATTATTCCCTTACTGATTAGTTGAGTATTTTTGGTTTTAAATGAGAATTTTTTATATTTCCTGTGGTAAATCTGGGCACCTGTGTAGTTCAAATAATGAGACATTTTGATCATTTTCTTGTCATTTGGTACATTGTTTTGAGACTTCATATACAGACTCATAATCAAAAGTGTCACAAGGGCTTCATGCACATTGGATTCCTAAACAAAGCCATTCAACGAGAAAAACTTGTCCTCCAAAGTCCTGAAGTTAGACCTCCATTAGTGCCTCAGTTGGGCCAGAAATGTAGCTTACATTGACCGTTCCTAAGTCCCATCTTATTAAATTCATCCCATTCTTCCAACTTCTTGAAGTCTTTTCAGATCCTTGTTCTTTCATCCAACGTGGATGAAAGGGGTTGAATCACTGGCTCACCAGGATCTAAAGTCACCAGCCTAGATTATGAAGAATCAGTGTTCTTCCTTACCTTTGTGAAGAATTTTCCAAATGTTTGTTGCCAAAAACGACCACTGGCCAAAGAATGGCCCTTTTTTAAAGCCCATCTGTGTAAGAAAGCTTATGAAGGGAGACTGAATGTACACAGCAATTGAAGCAATTATAGTTACTTCTCCAATCAAGGCCGTAGCCCCTGAGCTACCTGGCTGTTTTAGCTTGTGGGTAATCCAGAAGAGACATGATGTCAGCCTACTGTTATGCTGGTAGCTCTGTTTGAAGACTTCTGGCTGGAGAACAGGCTTCCCTGAAAATGTTTGAAGGGTGCAAAGGTGATTGGAAAACAGACTGGATCATCTGTGCAAGGAATGAGTGGTAGAGAGCAATTAGACAAGTTTCTTTCATTTTTTTTATAAGCCTTTGTGCTATTTCACCACAGACATTTCAAGAAAAAGAGTTCTTTTTCTTTACCCTCCAAAATTTAATCCTCTTTTATGCCAAAGAAGTAGTCGCACAAAAATACCAGTGGTAGTGACTTATCTGACAATTCCTAAAACATTCTCCTTTAATGGTCTCCATCTTCTCTACTATCAGAAGTTGTGATGTTTTTAAATTTTATTCTTAATTTATGGAATAAAAGAAGCATTTCCATCACACAGTATAGTGAAAAAGATTTATTGTACTTAAAACTGCAAATCTATGTACAACTTGCTATTCCTTTCAAATATACAATAAAACTATAATGTAAATTTCTTTTTCTTCCCATCCCTCACTCTAGAGATGGTTACCTTTAGACACAAATAGATGTGTGTATGTGTGTGTTTGTGTAATGTATATGTATACATGTAAAATTCTATATATACCTCAGTTTATCAGTTCTTTCTCTGGATGCAGATAGCATCTTTCTTCATATATCCTTTATATTTAATTTGGGCATTTGTAATAGATAAATTATTCACTCAAAGTTCTTAAAACAATATTGTTGTTACTGTGTACAATGTTGGTACTCATTTTTTCACTTTTATTATTCCAAGCAAATCTTTCCATGTTTTTCTAAAATCTCATAGCTCATCATTTTTTATAGCTCAGTAATATTCCATCACATTCATGTACCACAGCTTGTTCAGCCATTCGCCAATGGATGGGCATGCTTGCAATATCCACTTCTTTCCTGCCAGGAAGAGAGCTGCTGTAAACATTTTAGAGCACTTGCTTCTTTTCCTTTTCCCCTAACCATCTTTGGAGATAGACCATGTGGTGGTATTGCTGGCTCAAAGGGTCTAGGTAGTTTAATAACTCTGGGCATGATTCCACATTGCTCTCCAAAGTGGTTGGATCATTTATTATTGCACCAACAGTGAATTAGTGTCTCAGTTTTTCCTCCTCCCCTCCAGCATTTGTCACTTTCCCTTTCTGTCATTTGAGCCAATCTGTTAGGTGTAAAGTGATGTCTCTAGTTTGTTTTCATTGACATTTCTCTAACTAGTAATGATTTAGACTATTTTCATATGACTACAAATTGTTTTGATTTCTTCATTGGAAAACTGCCTGTTCATCTCCTTTGACCATTTAATAAACTGTCTGTATAAATTTTCCCCCAATTTTCTGCCTTGCTTCTAATGTTGGCTGTTTTTGTTTTATTTATATAGAACTTTTTAATTTAATGTAATCAAAATTATCTATTTTATGCCTGACTTTGCTATCTGTCCCTTGTTTATTTATAAATTGTTCACCTATCCATAAGTCTGATGAATAATATAGTCACCTTTTTTTCCCAGTTACTCATAATTCAGCATATTTTGGTTGTTTTTTTTAATTGTATTTTTGTAATTTTGTGTGCTATGTGCTGTTGGGTCTGCTCTTTTTACACTGTCACTGAATACACATCCTCTACTGCTCAGAATTCCTCATCTTTTTTATTTTCAAGTATATAAATGACAGTAAATTCATATGCCATTTTTTCTAGATGTTCTTTACTGGTGAGAATTCAGTTTGTTTCCAGGTCTTTGCTGCCCAGAAGAGTGCTCATATGAATGTTTAGTGTAAAAACTCAGTTGTGGCCTTGGTCTGGTGATAGAGAAAGGGAATGGCAACATGGTACAGTGAGAATAGCCCTGGATTTGCAGCTGAGAGGACCGGGTCTCAAAGTGCGCATCTAGCATTCATTCCCTTTTTGACCTTAAGCAAGCCACTTTTCTTCTCTAATGAGCAAATTAGACTCCAGAGTCTCTTCCAGCTCTAAATATATGAATTGGAAAGTTATGGTCCTTTAACACCCTTTTCAGCGTAAAAAAAATTGTTCACATGCTGTTACAGACAGGAGGTTATAGTCCCCCATGCTTGCCTTTGCTCTTCTGGTTCCAGGAACATTGAACACAATGGTGTTTGTTTCAGAGCAGCACATTTTAAGAAGCACAGCGATTGGATGAAAAGAAGGTAAGTGCCTTGGTGGTGAAGTGATCAGGCCAATTGGTCAAAGGAACTGGCTGTATTAGGATTGGAAGAGAAGACTTATAGCTGCATCTGTTTTTGTGTTTTGTTGTTTGTTTTTTTTAAGGCAGTTGAGGTTAAGTGACTTGCCCAGGGTCACACAGCTAGTAAGTGTCAAGTGTCTGAAGCCAGATTTGTATTCAGGTCCTCCTGACTCCAGTGCTGGTGCTCTATCCACTGCGCCACCTAGCTGCCCCTCACATGATAGCTCCTTGAGCTATTTCATTTTCATTGTTTATTTCAGTAAGTAGAAATGGAATTAGCCATAATACTGCTTCAACTTAGAGGGCAGAAGTAGGAGCTATGGGTGCACATTATAAAATGAGAATACACACACAAAAACACACATTTAAAATTGATGTCATTGGAACCTTTTACCACAATAAGAATATTGAGCACCTACAAAGTGCCAGGCATCATACTGAGTGTGGAGGATACAAAGTATGGCAGTAATGGCTCCTTCCCTCCAGGAGTTTGCCAACCAATTGGGAGGAGTTCTGTTTTTAAATTTTTTGTTTAGTTTTTAATTCTTAAAACAAAACAAGCATTTCCAATACATACTATAATAAAAGAAAAAGATGATTGCACGTGAAACTCTGAGTCTGTTATGTACAATTTGCTATTCCTTTTTAATATATATAAAGTTATCATGTAAATTTCTTTTCTTTCCCTTCTCTCACCCCCCATCCTAGAGATGGCTGCTATTATGAGATAAAAGTAAAATATATTAGTTCTTTCTGATTGTGGAATTACTAAGTGTCTGCTGAATATCACGCACTATACTGGGCTACAAATAAATAAATGAACCAATCTCTTGTAGCAAGGGAAAGATGAAATGACTGAAGAAATGAACATTCGATCTTTTGGGCATATCAATTTTATAATAAGGCATGACAACTGCAGATCAAATTGGGACTAGGCCCCTTCCTCAACTTTTGGCTGGACCCAGAATATAGGGGGAGATGTACTTGTATACATTAAAAACAAAGCCAATTAGTTAGAAACAAATACTACGATATCAGGTAACCTGATTTCTAATTGGAGGAATGATTATTGGCTTTGGATGTGAAGAGGTAAGTGGGGAACAGACTCAGTTCCCTGAATTTAGAAAAAGGTGTACCCGTCCAGTCAACAGTGTATATAATCAAAGGAACTTAAAATAACTAATTGTTCACTATGGGGCCAGTTGGCAGATAAGACATATGTGTGGCTTGAAATGCAGAATTGTGAGAACTCCTTATATCAGTCTTTTTGGGTCTGACTGGGTTTCTGGTCAGCATAACCTAGGTCCTTAGTTAAGGGTCTCCAAACAGCAAGCAGAGAGAGGTGTTCTGATTTACCAGCCAGGAAAGACTAGGTTCAAACAATGCAAAAATTTTTTCTCCCAGTTCCCTCAATTGAATAAATTTTCTCCACAAGACAAAGTTGGACTAGACCTATAATTGAACAGAAGACAGAACTCAGCTACCTCCACAATCCAGTCCACAAAATGGAGTCAGTGTGGTTGACTCAAATTGCCTCAATTCCCTGTACCATTTGCTGTCCTAATGCCCTGCATTCTGTCACCCTGCTGACAAGCTGTTTACGTTTGGACTTTATAGGAGAGCTATAGCTGGGTAAGCACAATTGTTTTTGTTATTTCAGGAATCAGTGACATTCAAGGATGTGGCTGTGGAGTTCACCCAGGAAGAGTGGGTACAATTGAACCCATCTCAGAAAACGCTGTACAGGGATGTGATGCTGGAGAACTATAGGAACTTGGTCTCTTTGGGTAAGAACAGCCACCCCTTTGGAGTCTTGATATGTACTATGACAGCTTTCAAGATTTTAACAGTTATTCTTTGGTGTACAAGAGGAAAATATTCCTGATCCTTTTGTAGCCAAGAGACAGATTACTTGTACTACCTGTTTCCAGGAAAAAGGTCTTTGCTTACTATGCCTGGAAACTGATTTCTTGATTTGTTATTCTTGAGAATGTGTCTTCCCCTCTCTGTTGCTTCAAATCCAAGATTTTCCTTTTTAATCCCAATGTAGGTTTCATCATACAAAATGTTGCACTGTCTAAGCAGGGAGTGAGTCAAATGAACAATTTTTGCCCCAAGTCCTACTCAGTAATCCATTCTACCATAATATAGTGGTCTTTTGTATGTCCTTGAGGTCTGCCTAGCATAGAGCTTAAATTAGTCTTAAATTCTTTTATTAAGTTTTGTGTGGAGGCTTGTTAAAAAGATGTAATTCCTCCTTGCCCTGACACCTTAAAAAAAGAAAAGAAAACACCCTACTTCTCCCTCCACTCAGCCCATTGAACCCCATATGTTTGAAAAACAAAAATCTCAAGACAAAATCAGATAACATCATGCCTTTGGTGGTATAAGATACATTCAGTGCCCTTATTCCCCCACCTTTGTGTTAAGAGTTGGAAGGAGTATTTCATCTATCTCTTCTATGATGGAACTCTGAAATACCTCCCTGACACTTTTTCATTTTCAATGACCAGGATTTGCAGTTTCCAACCCAGATGTGATCTACCAGTTGGAAAGAGGGGAAGCATCTTGCATGCCAGAGACAGATATTCCAAGAAGCAGCTGTCCAGGTGACTACATAAAAGCCAAGCAGATGGGTGGCTGCAAAATACTGTTCTGTTGGTCATTTTAGGTCAATGCTCTTCTAAAATGTTGCACATAGTGGCCTGTCAAAGCTTCTCAGGCCTGTTGAGAGGAGCTGAGACTTTCAAACTTCTTTTTTTATCCCAAGGAATTACTTTTTTATGTATCTCTTTACTGAAATGTACTTCCATTCTCAAAGAAAGTTGTTGCCTTAGTACAGGGTAGTTGGCATGCTCCTGCCTCACTTGCATGAATTCATTCTCCCATTCCAAATAAGTACATTCCTGAAGATATTAAATAATGTGCTCTTTTTGCTTCTTAGTTCTCTTCTGATATTTTCTTATATTTTGTTTTAATGATTGTCTTGCTTTGCTGCTGTTAGATTTAAAATATTTCATCCTAACCTCATTCCCTTTTCTTCATTGTATCATTTTATGTGCCATCCTGATTTTCTTTACACTTTGAAATTATGTTTGTAAAAGGCACGTTATTCTGTTCATATGACAGGACTTATGTAGCCATATCCCCATCATTGGACCTATATGTTTTCAGTATTTTGCTATTTCACAGAAAGCTCTTGTGGAAATTTTACGGAGAGTTCTTTGTTTGCTTTCAGTTACATATTGAGGATGCTGACCTAGTCCTGGGAGCATTGGGTCAAAGGACATGAACATTTTTGTAGCTTTAGCTGAAATTGCTGTTCTTTTTTTCAGAAAAAATGACAGTAAGGGGCAGCTAGGTGGCACAGTGGATAGAGCACCGGCCCTGAAGTCAGGAGGACCTGAGTTCATATCTGGCCTCAGACCAAACACTTGACACTTACTAGCTGTGTGACCTGGGCAAGTCACTTAACCAGAATTGCCCCCCAAAAAAAAATTATTAAAAAAAATGGCAGTAGCATCTTTATGTGCAACTATTTTGACATAATTGTGAAAATTTATCATTTTAAAGTATCTTTGCTAATGTGATGGCTACTTATTGCTTGTTTTTCTACTTTCAATATTGGAGTTTGAGTAATGTTTAAGATAATTATTAATAATTTCTCCTCTCAAAAACAACTATGTCTTACTCTTACAGATTTCAATCAATTCCTTAGAAAGTAGATATATTTGATTTTTAGATGACATTTATGAGAGTGATTGTCACATTTTCCATCTCATATTTCTTCTTTATTCTGTTTACTTCATTTATCTATTTCTCTTCGTTGCTTGGAACTCAGTTCTCTATTTTTTTTTTCTGTTCAGGCTTTTCTCTTCCTAGTTTTACCTCAAATGATAAAGATACATTTGCAAGTTCTCAAAATCATGTTTTCTTTTTTTTTTCTGAATATACTTATTCCATTCGAATGCCAGACACTGAAAGTAGAGTAAGAGTTCATTCATCCTTCGAGGTAATTTCATCATCAGTTAGATTATTTACGTGTGGTACCTTTGAGTCTTCATATTTTCAAATAAGATAAATTGATTCTTAGTGAACGACTAGTAAGACTATCCTTTTCAAATGAGAAGGCAAGAGAATACCTCTAAAACCTAGTTTTAAAAAAAAGAGAGGGGGCAGCTAGGTGGCACAGTGGATAGAGCACCAGCCCTGAAGTCAGGAGGACCTGAGTTCAAATGTGACCTCAGACCAAACGCTTGACACTTACTACCTGTGTGACCCTGGGCAAGTCACTTAACAGCAGTTGCCTAAAAGAAAAAAAATAAAAAAGAGAGAGTTAATCAGGTTTTTATTCTTCCTTTCAGAGATCAGAGTATTTACGGGAGATAAACCTTTCTCGTGTAATGAATATGAGAAGGCCTTCAGGGATAAGGCACAACTTAACTCTGCATCACAGGGTTCATACTGGAGAGAAACGTTATGAATGTAATGAATGTGGGAAGGACTGCAGATATAAAGGACAACTTACAGTGCATCAGAGAATTCATACTAGAGAGAAACCTTATAAATGTAGTGAATGTGGAAAGGCCTTCAGGAGGAAGATACAAGTTACAGAGTATCAGAGAATTCATACTGGAGAGAAACCTTTTCAATGTAGTGAATGTGGGAAGGCCTTCAGGAGGAAAATACAACTTAGAGTGTATCAGAGAATTCATGCTGGAGAGAAACCTTATGAATGTAGTGCATGTGTTAAGGCATGCAGGGATAAGACACAACTTACAGTGCATCAGAGAATTCATACTGGAGAGAAACCTTATGAATGTAGTAAATGTGGAAAGACCTTCAGGGGAAGGTCAAGTCTCACAAGTCATCAGAGATTTCATACTGGAGATATATGTTATGAATATAAGGAGTGTGGGAAGGGTTTCCTGTACAACTCAGATCTTCTTCTACATAAAAAAATTCATGGTATAAAGAAAACTTATGAATGTAGTGAATGTGGAAAAGCCTTCAGCAGGAAGACACAACTTACAGTGCATCACAGAATTCACACGGGAGAGAAACCTTATGAATGTGGTAAATGTGGAAAGGCCTTCCTGAGGAAGTCATATCTTACTGTACATCAGAAAACTCATACTGTTGATATCCATAATAAATTTAATGAGTGTGGGATGGTTTTCCCCTACAACTCGGATCTTATTTGACATCAAGATATTCATTCTGAAGAGAAACTTCATGAATATATTGAATATGAGCAGTCTTTCAGAGTGAGAATGAAACTTACTCAACACCAAAGAATTTATTCAGGAAAGAAACCTTAAGAATGTAATGCATATAGAATGGCCTTTAGGTAGAGAGTACGACTTTATGTACATCAGATAATTCATCCTGGTGAGATTTCTCAGGAATGTAAGGAGTGTGGGGAGGAGGCTGTGCATTCCAATTCAGATCTTACACAACTTACAGTGCATCACAGAATTCTACTGGAGAGAAACCTTATGAATGTAGTGAATGTGGGAAGGTCTTTTGGAGTAAGACACAATTGACAGACTTGCTCAACATCAAAGAATTAATTCTGGAGAGAAATCTTTTGAGTTTACGGAGGCCTTTAGACTCAGCACATTACTTTATGTTCATCAGAGAAATGTTACTAGAGTCATTTTTCCTCTCTGCAGAGGCCTGTAAAGAGGCAAAGATTTAGTGTTATCATCCTATGTACCTTCATGGAAGGAGAGGTTATACTGGCTGAGGCAGAGGCTGCTGAGTGGATAGTGGTATAGGGACAGCCTTAGTATTAACTTTGATCCCTGGGCATATGGCTTGCAAGACACTTGGGGATGACGTCTTGGCCATGAGATGAGGCTGTGCCTGATGAGTGATGAATAATTGTTGACAGCTTGAGGAATATATCATAATCTGAGCTGTGTTCCTGATGTTGGTGCTGCTTCTGCTTCTATTCATTTTTGTAGCCACTGTGGACCTTACAAATTTGAAATCACCTTAATTAAAATAAAGCATCACAAGGGTGTGTGGCAGATGTTAGTGCAATGTAATTTCTGCCCAGTGACCTGAATGTCCAAGGAAAGAAGTTCACTGAAGTGCAGGTAAACAGCAGGATTAACTATTATCTTCTCATTATAACCAAATGCCTTGTCATCTAATTAGTGACACATATGAAAAGTGAATAAAATTCCCAATATGGTTGAGGAATAGGAACAGTTTTCAATGAAGTTATCAGAACAATCAATAATAATGAAAATGATTTAAGTCACTATTGATTAGGGAAATGCAAATGAAAACAACTTCGAAGTAATATGTCACTTTAGCTCAGATTGGCCAACATGGCAGAAAAAGAAAGTGATATTCTGGAGGGGGTGAGGAAAAATAGAGACAGTAATGCACAATGCAGAACTGGTCCGACCATTCTAGAGGAAAATTTGAAACTGCACAAAGGGCTATAAAAGTGTGCCTACCCTTTCACACATCGATAGCACTACTAGGTCTATATCCCAAAGACATCAACAGAAAAGGACTTATGTGTACAAAATGTGTATAGTGGGTTTTTTTATGGTAATAAAAATTGGAAATTTGAGGGGATAACCATCAGTTGCTGAATGAAGTGGTTGTATATGATAGTGATGGAATATTATTGTGCTCTAAGAAAGGAGGGAGATAATTTTTCCTGGGAAGACCTATATAAATAGCTGTAGAGTTAAGTAAGCAAAATCAGGAAGTCTTTGTACACATTAATAGCAATATTTTTAATGATGATACCATGATCAATTGTGAATCACCTAGCTATTCTGATCAAGAGAATGATCTAAGACGATTCCAGAGGACTCATGCTGTAAAATGCTGTTCACCTCCAGAGAGAGAACTGACAAACTTAGTATAAATAGAAGTATAACTTTTTTCACTTTTCAAAATTTTCCTGCTTTTTTATGACATAGCTAATAAATATGTTTTACATGATTTCACATGTATAGATGATACATTATTTCTCTTCTCAGTGGCTCATGGAGAGAACTCAATTGTAACTCAAATGTAACTCTGTTTATGTTTTGTTTTGTGAGGCAATCGGAGTTAAGTGCCTTGCCCAGAGTCACACAGCTAGTAAGTGTCTGAGGTCCATATTTGAACTGAGGTCCTCCTGGCTCCAAGGCTGGAGCTCTATCCACTGCGCCACCTAGCTGCCCTGTAATGTTTAGGTAGTATCTTTTTAAAATGATGCCCTAAAAGCATTTGAAATCACTCATGACATGGATCATATTATACTCTTAAAACTTGGATATTTCTGTGGCAGAGAAGAAAAGCCTAAGAGTTCTGCCTGTCTCCCTGAACCTCAGTAATGTGTTGCCAGTTCTAGCCACGTGGGTGCAAAGTCTAATGTGAGCCAAGTTTTGGAGGTCCAAGATTGTTCCAGTGTGGCCATCCCCTCAACCATACTTGTCCCATTAAGCTCAGTGCCTAGAGCTGTTACTCTCGTCCACCTCCTCTTCAATGATTTTGAGGCATCTTGTCACCTCCTGGCAGGCAGGTAACATATAATCAACTTCTAAAGACAGACTGAAAGCAGTGTTTTATCCTAGAGTCAGTCAGAATTCTTTTTGTTCTGCAGTCATTTTTTAGTTGTGTCTGACTGTGACCCCATTTGGGGTTTTCATGGCAAAGATACTGGAGTTGTTTGCATTTTCCTTCTCTAGCTCATTTTACAGATGAGAAAACTGAAGGAAACCGGCTTAAGTGACTAGCCCAACATCATGCAGTATCTGAGGCTAGATTTGGAACTGAAGAAGATGAGTTTTCCTGACTCAGGCATGGCTCTCCACTGTACGACCTAGCTGTCCAATCAGAAAGCTACTGATGCGCTAGAATGGAATGATACGGTTTGACCTGTGGTTTTTGAAGATGAATTTGCTGATTGTGTAGAGAATGTGTTTGAAGAGAGAAAGAATGCCCGTGTGTCTGTTTAGTTCTGGGCCTATGATTTTATCCTTATGGGGAATTCAGTGTGGAGGTTACCTATGCTCATCAAGATGGACAATTAACTCTGTAAATGATTATCCTAGACCTCGACAAACCATGATTCCAGGGTACTGCAGATAAGCATGCTGCTCTGCTCATCTCTTTCTGGAGAGGTGATGGATTTAAAGTACAAAGTGAAACTTACATTTTGAGGTGTGACCAAAATGTGTTTGTGTGTGTATATATATTATGTAGGTTATACTTTTCTTTTTAGTCCCATGAAGGAGAAGAAAAAGTAATTGCTAAAAATAAAAGTGAATTTTTTAATTAAAAAAAAACCCCTCCTGTAATGAGAGTCTATAGAATGTCTGGACTTCCTGAGATCAATACACGTAGACCACCATTACATAAGGGTCAGCTAGGTGGTGTAGTGGATAGAGTGCCAGGCATGGAGTCAGGAAGACTTATCTTTCTGAGTTGAAATGTGGCCTCAGACACTTAGTGTCTGTGTGATTCTGGGCAAGTCACTTAACCCAGTTTGTTTCAGTTTCGTCATCTGTAAAATCAGGAGAAAGAAATGGCAAACCCCCCAGTATCTTTGTCAAGAAGACCACAGATTGGGTAATGGTCAGATCTAACTGAAGTCACAGAGCAACAGCAAGAACAGTGTATATTCATGTGTAGACGGATGTGTGTACAAACACACTTCTGTGTGAGCTGTTTGGAGATTTGTTGGAGTCTTTGTCCTTGTCACCTGTGTTGAGCTCAATGCCTGGCACGTAGTAGATGCTCAATAACTTTGTGATCATTTGATTGGTTTGAAGGGCTACCCCAGGCAAGAAGGATTAGAATTCCTTATTTTGGCTCCAGAAGGTAGGATTAGCAATAATTGCTAAAAATTGCAATGAGGCAAATTTAGGTTTGAGTTAAGAAAACTTGCCAGTAAGACCTATCTGAATGTAGAATTGGGTTTCCTGAAGAGGTAGTTGGGACCCTAGGGAGCATTCAGGTGGCCTCCTTGGAACACCTGGAAACTGATCCCTATACCCAGGGCTTACTTAAACACAGCAGCACAAGGTGAGGAACAAGAACAGCATCCTTATACTTCAGAACATGTCCAGTAACCATGAGTCAACACTGTCTGTCCTGAATGGGAAGTCATACCTCCTTCCCTCTCTCAGTCTTTTTTCCATGTCTTGCTAGATGGTGGAGGCAGAAGAAATGGTACAGATTACCAGCAAGAGGAGTTAGGAACATGTATGAGGCTTTGTTCCCATAGGCAGATGGGCAGAGAATGTGGCAGAAATGATTTATCATGAAGATGATGGCAGATGATGCTAATGCAACATGTTAAGGGAACTGGAGATAGTGGGAGAAGTGTTTCTCCAGTGCATCTCCTGTGACATAGACCTGCATTGATGCGCCACTCCCAACGTTCATATGGACTTTGTGTCTCACCTGTGGTGGAGCCTTCTGAGCTCATATTGGTCTGATCAGCCACTGTTGGGCACACTACTTTTTTTTTTAAAGATTCCTTAATTTATGTATTTTTAGTTTTCATCATTGAGTTCACAAACTTTTGAGTTCCAAATTTTCTCCCCATCTTGTCCCTACCCCTACCCCAATACAGCATGCATTCTGAATACACTTTACCATAATCTGCCATCCCTCCTATCTCTTCCCCCTGCTCCATCCACCCTTCTCTTATCCTTTTCCCCTTCTATTTTCCTATAGGGCAGGATAGATTTCTATACCCCATTGCCTGTATATCTTATTTCACTGTTGCATGTGAAAACAATTTTAAGCATTTGCTTTTAAAACTCTGGGTTCCAAATTTTCTTCCTCCCTCCCTCCCCTCCCACCCTCATTGAGAAGTCAAGCAACTTGATGCAAGTTATACATGTGTAGTCATGCAAAATACTTCCATAATATTCAGAAGTGAGAAGACATTTTTAATTATTTCATCCTATCTTGTTGAAAATAAAAATCCATGGTAAAATTATGAGGTTGTGATACAAAACACATTTAGTATGACACACTTTGTAAATCTGACCTTTTTAATTTGCTTGGGGCCATTCTCTCTTCAGGGAACAGGTATTATCAGATGCAAGAAATCTTGCCTCTCTGATTTTCAAAGGTAACAATATCTCAGAAGAGCAAGGGGAGAGAGAGACCCCCCTCCCTTATTTTGGAATTCCTCCTCCTCTCACTGCAGACGTGGTGGGTTATATTTGTGGAATGTGACTTATACTGTCTGAGGCAGTAAAGATGTTACCTTTCTTCAGTTGCTTTCTCTCTATATTCCTTGTTATAAGAGATGATTCTTTGTATAGGAAAGGGGAAAAATATATTTGGGTGGGGGAATGCAACGTAAAAACAAACATACCAATAATATTTTAAAATACAACCTAGAACTTTGTGCAATGATAAAAGCACTCAGCCTATGACAAGAGTTAGTTGCCACAGTCCACAGAGTGCAGTCATCAGGACTGAGTTCAAATTTGGCCTTAAAACTTTCTTAGCTCTGTGACTCAGGGTAAGTCATTTAACCTTGTTTAAAGCTCAGTTTCCTCACCTCTAAATTGAGCCAGAGAAGGCAATGGCAAACCACTCCAGCACCTTTCCCAAGAAAACCCCAAATGGGGTCAGGAAGAATTGAACAGGACTGAACAGCACAGCACCTACAATTTCCTGGTCCTGTTCTCTGCTGCTTTTTGAAAAATTGGACATTCCCGTTTCTCCTGTTGTTCCTCTCCCATTATTCATGATCTTGCAGTATCACAGTCACAGGCTCGGCAACCACATCTGTCAGTTCTGTCAGGAGTAAGGGAGAAAGGAGGGGCAGCCACGTGGTGCGGTGGGCCATGACATCCCAGGGCGAGGACTTGACTTGTCAGTGAATTGGCTTTAAGCGAGGCAGAGCCGTGCAAAGGCACCAGCCGCACTCTCACCTCCACATTCACCAGAGTCCAGTGGCAAGACATAGGTCAGGCCAGCTGGTGATGGCTCCTGATGCAGTGGGAGACCTTGGCCTTTCCCGGGTCTCAGTTCATCTGAGGCAACACCCATTCAGTAATTAAAGGCTAGGCTAGTAACTGAGGCAAAAGACGGACTAGTTTGTCTTCACAAGAGTCAGTCTGGGATGGAAAGACCCTTATTGCCTCATAGAGTTCTGGGTATGGTGTAAGGAAGACGAGTTCAAATCCAAGTTCAGTCACTTGCTAGCTCTGTGACCCTGGACAAGTCACTTCACCGTAGTTTCCACATCTACAAGATGGGGGCTATAACAGCCCCTGCTTCCCAGGGTTGCTGTGAGGACCACGTGAGAGAGTCATTGTACAGTACTTAGCAGTGCCTGAAACACAGTAAGCTCCGCGTAAACGTCAGCTCTTAGTTTCATTTAGTCCATCTACCAAAGGACTGGCACTCATGAGGTAAGGGGAAGAGCGGAGGGGGCGGGGCTCCCGGCAGGAACGGCGGGGCAGGCAGGGAAGCAGGGCTGCATTCCAGGCTGGGGGAGGGGCCCGGCCCGGGGCATGCGCAGAGGGCGCCTCAGCCTCCAGACTAGATTCTCAGAAGGCCGCGCTCACCTCGAGGGCGGAGCTCCTGGCAGGAAGGGCGGGGCAGGCAGGGTAGCGGCGGCAATCCAGGCTGGGGGGTGGGGCCCGACCCCAGACATGCGCAGAGGGCGCCTCAGCCTCCCGACTACGATTCCCAGAAGGCGGCGCTGGCCTCACGGGCATTATCCAAGCTTACGGGCAGGAGGACTGCACTTCCGTCTAACTATGAAACTTCCGCCCCCTTTTCTCTCCGCCTCTTCCACGCTCGCTGGTTCCAGCTTCCCCTTTTCTGCCCTGGGCTGAAGTGTGACGGGGTGAGCGGGGCCAGGCCCAGGCGGAGCCGGTGCGGGGGTGTGGCGGGGTCGGAACAGCGGGGGCTGCCTGGGGAGCAACCGGAGAATGGGAGGAGCTTCCGGCAGAGGAGGAAGAAAGCCCCTGAGGGGCTCCCAGAGGTCTGGGGAGGGGCGGGAGTTGGAGGCCGAGCGGGTGGAGGCAGAGCCTGGGGGTAGGTTGTATTCCTCCTTCAGTCACACCCGCTTCTAGTGACCCCGCTCGGCGCCTGACCCCCCAGGTCTCAGGCCTTGCCCCGTGCCCATAGTCCCTAGGAATGTGCTCCCAGGGTGGGTCTGTCTGGTCCTCGGTGCGGACTTCCGTGGCCTCATCTCTTCCCAGCATCCTCCTGGCTAGCGCCTCCTCCCGGAAGCCCTCCCTGATGCTGCCGGGGCCCCTTGTTCGTCACCTGCCGAAAGGGTCACCTGTCAGTTCTCCACTTTGTCTCTAAAGATATTCTGGCCCGAAGACACCCCTCCCCCCTGCCCTCGAGAGGAATGACAGCTTCCTTCTGGACCCCTTCCCCCCCCAGAAGAGAAATTGTTGAGGTTCAGGATTTCTGGCACCCCGAAATATCAAGAGCAGGAATGAATGTCCAAATAAATTCGACCCAAACCTTTCAGCGAAAGACAAGGTTTATCAAGGATCTGCCACGTTGGCCAGACTCTTAAGGCATCTAAACATTTGGGACAGAATATTGACCAGCGGGCTAGAACACCTCTCGGCCATTGCCTAGAGTGTAAGAATCAGAGCACTTTAATGGAGACAGGAGGGATCTTAGATACAAAAAGACTGTGGGAGGGATCTAGGAGTGGCCAGGTAGTTTGTGGAGGAGAGGTCTGGGAGCAGGGGTCTGGCAGGGATCTTGATGGGGGTGACTGGGAGGTAGAATGGGGTCTAGACCATAGGATCAAGAGTGGGAAGTGTCTGAGGGTGATTGGGAAGTAACAGACAATGAAAGCTGGGCTTGGTTAAGGGTAATAGAATTGGGAGATTGGGCATAGGCTATAATGAAAGGCCAGTTAATAAGATTATAGCCTCAGGGAAATGCTCAGACTTAATCAGTCAAGTGGGAGTGTTCAGGGAGAGTCCAAGTTTGGGTTTTCTAGGGCCTGTAGAAAAGTGGGACCCAAATTCTTTTTGGGGTAATGAGCAAAGATCTCCACTTGGGCCCGTATCCCGTCATTTCCCCCTCAAACAAATGGAACCCCAATTCTTTTCAGGTGAGGGGCAGAGGTCTTGACTTGGGCCTATACCCCATCAAAATGACCGTTTCCTTCTGGCCTTTTCCTACCCCCACCTCCCAGTACTATGCCCCCCTCCTTGATCTGCCCTGCAGTGGAGGAATAGGAATTTCTAGTCTCTGAGCAAGGGAGACCCAACAGCATGACCCCTAACTCTCCTGGTTCTCCTTTCCTCCCCAGCTTTATCTTGTATAGCCTCTGCTCTGCCCCAGTAGATGAGAACCTTGAGGAAGAGGGAATGGCTTCTGTACTGACAGCCAGGCCAGGAAAGGTGAGTGCCACTTGCTTCTTTCCTGAAATAGCATCTCAGGCCAGAGACTGTGGGATAGGCTTCTTTGTCCTGTACTGTAACGCTAGAAATTGTGGGCATGAGAGAATCATATAACGACAGACACCAATTTATCCTCTCCACACATAAAAAACCAAACAAACATACATTTACTTTGTTGTTGGGTTTTTTTAAATTGTGAGTTCCAAATTCTTCCCCTCCCTCCAGTCCTTCTCCTACCCATTAAGAAGGGGAACATTAGGGTATCCATTGTAGATATGAAGTAATACAAAACATTTCTGATGCAGTTTGGGTTGCTGTGAACCCCAAACTGTCAGGGTATGGGGCAGCATCTGCCTGGATGAATTCAAGCACTGAAACCTTCTTCCAGACAAAAGACAAGTTTTATTGTAAGGCCGACATAGTGGGCAGTATTGTTAGGGATTCTGCAACTTAATGGGGGTCAGACTGATTGTTATGTACACTGAAAAGATTTGGGTGGGATTGAGGAGTGGTAAGTACTCTGGGGTGGGCAGATATGACAGTGAAAGGAATGTCAAGTAAGCTTGAGCTGTCCCCCAAACCCTTCCAAACACCCGCAAACAAAATGGCTCTAAACAAATTCTAAAGCAGGAGAACCCACAAAAAGACAGAGTAAAACAAATTTCCAGGCCAAGACAGCCTGGATGGTTGATCTAAAAGGCATATCACGTCAAGCGGGGAGAGGAGCTCAGTTCGGTGTGGGCACGCAGGCCACGGCGAACCTGGAGCAGGCATGGCCTTTAAGAACTAAATCTAGCCTGTAAACCCCAGGGGCATGATAACTCATGTACTCAGAGGGAGAGATAGGAGGGAAGACAGAAGAGAGGAAGGAGCTGAGTTGCCCAGCTAGAACTGACCAGTTGGGTCCCCAGTGAGGCAGCTCAAACTACTCACAAGTTATTGGTTGTCCTTCATTCTGGAAGAGGACCATCTCATAAGGAACATGATGCCATGACTTGCAAATGAATTGGATTTAAGTGAGGGAGGGCTGTACAAGGTCACTGGCTTCACTTTGTCTTCTGAAGCCATTTGAGTTCAGTGGCAAGATAGAGATCAGCAAGACTTGAGATGGCCCCTGCTATTGATGGATCTACAACTTGGACCAGCCATTCTTTTGTTTTTTTGGTTTTTTGGTGAGGCAAGTGACTTGCCTAGGGTCAAACAGCTAGTAAGTGTTAAGTGTCTGAGGCTGGATTTGAACTCAGGTCCTGACTCCAAGGCCAGAGCTCTATTCACTCTACCACCTAGCTGCGCCATGGACCAGCCATTCTTTTTTTTCTTTTATATACAGTTGGGGTTAAGTGATTTGCCCAGGGTAGCACAGCTAGTGAATGTCAAGTGTTTGGTCTGAAGCTCGATTTAGACTCAGGTCCTCCTGACTTCAGGGCCGATGGACCAGCCATTCCTGAAAGCACTTTGGAATAATGCTGACAAAATTACTAAACTGTGCACATACTCTTTCTCAGTAGTACTATTCCTAGGTGCAAAGGGATCAAAGAAAGAGAAAATGACCCATATTGTACAAAAGCATTGATAGCAGCTCTTTTTGTCGTGGCAGACAGTTAGAAACTGAGGGGAATCCAATCATTTGTGGAATGGCTGAACATGTTTTGGTTTGTAAAGGTGATAGAAAAATATTGTAATATAAGAAATGACACAAGGAACTTTTCCATAGAATCCTAGGAAGACTTGTGTGAATCAATGCAGAATGAAGTAAGCAGAGCAGTAGAAAAATTTATTCAATGGCAATATTGTGAATACAAAAAAATCTGAAAGATTTAAAAACTGATTAACCCAGTGACCACCTATTGTTTTCAGGAGGATTCCTGATGAAATATGCTACCCAACTTCTGACATTCATGTGATTGACCTTTATTCTTGAGATTCCAGTGAAAAATCTGAATTAATTTCTTTAAGTATTGAGAGATTTCACCTCTTTGCTTTCCAAGGGACTCTTTAAAGTATTCACCAGCACCACAATTCAAAAGCATCCATTCTGTGGCACTCAGCTTTCCTCACAATTTGGACATGGCCAGTGTGGGAATTTGTTTTGCTTGCCTATAAGTTGTTATTAGAAGGATTTTGTCTATCTTTTTTGCCGCTAATGTGGAGGGGGAAGTGGTAGTACTAGAAAATAGATTTTTGTTAAGGGTGGTCTTCTTCCTTAGACTGGAGGAGGAAAGATGAGAAGAAGCCCTTCTGGTATAAGTGTTCTTTCCTCCTAGTGCCCCAGTACATCATACATTTTTATCTCATGTATAATAAGGGTTTAAGACTGAAGTTCTTGATTCATATCTGCTTTTTGGGTGAATGCTGTGTTAAAGTGAATTAAACTAGAGAGTTTCAAGAGGCAGTATAGTACAAAGAAAAGAAGACTAAATTTTATATCAGAAGCCTTGCATTTGAGAGTTAGCCATTATTTTTAATAGCCAGTTGACTTGAAGCATAACTAATCATGAGAATAAGATGTTTTTAATTACCATTAATTGAATATGAATTAAAAAAAGAAATAGATCAATATACAAAAAATGGAGAGACAACAAACCCTGAAAGAAATTATTCTGGTGATAAATGTCAGAAAAAGATTTTTAAAACCTAGTCTGGAGGCAAGATCAGAGAATAGTGGAGTCCTTGTTTCAGGGTTGATGGGATGATGGTAATAAAGCATATCTGTGAGAAAGCTATACAACTTATATCTTCTTTGGCTTATGATTTCTCATTGTAGAATGATTAATCTGGAGAGGATAAGTCTGTGATCAGTCCAGCAATATGCAGCATACATTGTGTTCATCGCCCTGACGTCCTCTCGGCCTCTTCTGCTTACAATCACATGGTCTGTTAAATGGCCGTGTTTGCTGTGGAGGGTGCATCTAGGATGTTTTATTGTGTTTAGTAAATGGTAGATAGTGTTGGTGATAAGGAGGTCATGAGATACACGATTTTTCAGTAGTAAGTGACCACTGCTGTTTTTCCAACTGCATACCTCCCAAGGACTCCTTGCCATGTCTGGTAGTCTGAGCCTATTGTAGCATTAAAGCTTTAAAGTCACTCAGAATTAGAAGTTTGTCCTCTTTTGGCACATCGATGATAAGAATCTCCAGGTGTTCATAACATTTTTCTTTGACCTCATCAGGGTTCATCATGGGGGAAGCATGGGCACTGATGATGGTGGTGTGGCATTGTCCTGCAAGTGGCAATCGTATTGTCATGGGTCTGTTCACTCCTTTTGGTAGGTACAAGCCCTCACAACAGAAGTACCAGTCTTCCCTGAACCCACCCTGCCCTTACATAATGTAGTTAGATTTCAATGTAGACTCTGTCATCATCATATGGATCATCATGGATCATCATCATCATGGATGAGATCTGATCCATTTCACTTATATTTTCCTGCCTCTCCAGCTGGGTTCATAGAACATATCCTAAGCTCTCTTACCTTCTTTTTCCCACCTCCCAAACGTAATGATTTTTTTTTTGCTGTTTTGTTACAGTCTTCCCGTGGTTTGAAAAGAACTTGTGCTCTAAACTATTGTTAGGTTTCTCCACTTGCTAGATGAAGCCCTGGTAACAAACGTGAGATATATCCCCAATTATCTGCTTTCCTTCTGATCTTGGCTATATTTGTTTTATTTATACAAATCCTTTTAAATTTAATTTAATCAATATGTATACCTGGGTTTGCTATCTTTTGTTTATTCATAAATTGTTCACCTGTCCATAAGTCTGATAAGTAATATGTTCAACTTCTTTCTTCAGTTACTTGAACTTCAACGTCTTTTTCATTGTTCTTAAGAAAATTATAGTTTTGTAATTTTGTGCATTATGTTCTGTTGGGTCTGCTTATTTTACACTGCCTCAGTTAATGCATGTCTTGCAGTGCTTCTCAGAATTCTCCATGTTTGTCCTTTTTACCTATATAAGTGACAATGTGATTCATATGTCATTTTTTCCTAGCTGTCCTTTACTGGTGAGAATTCAGTTTGTTTCCAGTTCTTTGCTGCCCCAAAGAGTGCTGTCATGAATGTTTTTATGCAAAGTCTCTGCTGTGGCCTTGGTCTGGTTATACAGAAAGTGAATGGCTACATGGTTCAGTGAGAATCGCCAGAAGGACCTGGGCAAAATGCTCATCTACCATTTACTCCCCTTTTGACCTTATGCAAATCACTTTCTCTCTCTGGTCCTCACTTCCCTAATGTATAAAATGAGCACATTGGAGTCTAAAGTCTTACACCTCTAAACATATGAATTGTAAAGTTATGGTTCTTTAACACCTTTTTTAGCAGTTAAAAAATTGTTCACATGCTGTTTCAGACAGCAGATTGTAGTCCCCTATGCTTGCCATTACTCTTATGGTTCCGGGAGCATTGAACACAAGCATGTTCATTTCAGAGCTGCCCATTTTAAGAAGCACAACGATTGGATGAAAAGAAGAAAGTAACTGCCTTTGTTGTGAAGAGATCAGGCTGATTGGTCAAAGGAAATGGGTATGTTTGGATAGAAGGAGAAGCCTTAGGACCACATGATAGCTGTCTTCAACTATTCCATTTTCATTGCTTATTTTAGGAAGTAGAAAAGGATTTAGCCATATTACTGCTTAATCTCAGAGGGCAGAAGTAAAAAAACCACACATTTAAAATTTGTCTTGTTCGAATTATTTACAGCAATAAGCATTAGTTAAGCACCTGCAAATTCCAGACATTGGCTAAAAGTTGAAGATACAGAGGATGGCAGTAATGACTCCTGCCCTTCAGGAGCTTACAAACTAATAAGAGAGGAATTCTTTTCTAACATTTTTTATTCACTTAATTTTTAATTTATGGAATAAAACAAGCATTCTAGAAACATAGTATATTTTTAAAAAAAGATGATTGCACGTGAAACTACAAGTCTTTATGTACAACTTCCTACTTCTTTTAATATATAATAAAATTATCATATAAATTTCTTTCCCTTCTCCCCTCCCACCGTATAGATGTCTGCTACTAGATAGAAATGTGTGTCTGTGTGTGCTGGTGTGTGGTGTGTATGTGAAATCATTCTGTACCTACTTGTATTTATCACTTCTATCTGAGGCATTCGTAAGTGCCTGCCACATACCAGACACTGTACTGAGCTATAAATAAACAAATAAATTGATGAGTCGCTCCCTTTTGGCAAGTGAGAGATGAAATGACTGGGGAAACAAAGGTTCAGTCTTTTTGGTATATCAGTTTTATATTAAGCAAGGCATGACAGTTGTAGAACAAACTGAGATGTCAAAATCCTGTACCACTTGCTGTCCTAAAACCCTCAGTTTCCTCACCCTACTGGCAAGCAGTTTACATTTGAACTTCATAAGAGAACTTTGGGTAAGCACAAATATTTTTGTGTTTCAGGAATCAGTCACATTCAAGGATGTGGCTGTGGAATTCACTTCAGAGGAGTGGGTACAATTGAACCCAACTCAGAAAAAGTTGTATAGAGATGTGATGCTGGAGAACTATAGGAACTTGGTCTCTTTGGGTAAGAACAGCTACTCGTTTGAAGTCTTGATGTATACTGTGACAACTTTCAAGATTTTAACAGTTATTCTTTGGTGTACAAGAGAAAAATATTCTTAATTCTTTGGTAGCCAAGAGACACATTACTTGTGCTACCAGTTTCCAGGAAAAAAAAGATCTTTGCGTAGTATTCCTGGAAATCGATTTCTCGAATTGTCAACCTTGAGAATATGTTTTCCCCTCTCTGTTGCTTCAAATCCAAGATTTTCTTTTAATCCCAATGTAAGTTTCATCATACCATCTGTCAAGCAGAGAATGAGTCAAATGAACGATTTTTCTGAACTCCTACTCAGTAATCCATTCTACCATAATATATCTTTTGTCTATCCTTGAGGTCTTCCTAGCCTACCTTCTTTTTTCCCAAAGAGGGCTGAAACTAGTTTTGAATTCTTTATTAAGTTTTATGGATGCTTTTTTTAAAAGTGTAATTTTTCCTCCCCCTGAAACAAAAAAAAACCAACACCAGAAAACCATACTTTTTTGATACATTCGGTGCCCTTAGTCTTCCTCCTTTCTCCTAAGATTGGGATGGAATATTTCATGTATATATGATGGAACTCTGAGGTAACTCCCTAGCACTTTTTCTTTTCAATGAACAGGATTTGCAGTTTCCAAACCAGATGTGATCTACCAGTTGGAAAGAGAGGAAGCATCTTGGATGCCAAAGGCAGATATTCCAAGAAGCAGCTGTCCAGGTGACTACATAAAAACCCAACAGATGGGTCATTGCATAATAGTGATTTGTTGGTTATTTTAGGTCAGAGCTCTTGTAAATATTATACAAAGTGGCCTATCAAAGCCTCTTAGGCGTAGAGCACCAGCCCTGAAGTCAAGAGTACCTGAGTTCAAATCCGGCCTCAGATCAAACACTTGACACTTACTAGCTGTGTGACCCTGGGCAAGTCATTTAACCCCAATTGCCTAAAAAAAAAAAGAGTTACTTTTTTCATGTATCTCCTTACTTAAATGTAACTCTCTAAGAATGTTGTTGCCTTAGTACAGGTCATTTATTTCTTTTGTGTTCATTCAAGATTCTTTTCTCTTAAGCAGGCATTCTCCTGCCTCAACTTGCATGAATCATTCTCCCTTTTAATATAAGTATATTACTTAAGATATTAATAATGTGCACATTTTGCTTCTTAGTTATCTTCTGATGTTTTCTTTTGATTTTTTGATTATGTTACTTTGGTGCTGTTTTTAAAATATTTAATCCCAACCTAATTCCCCTTGCTTTCAGTCTCTGTTCTTATGTGTCATCCTGTTTTTCTTTATGCTTTGAAATTATGTTTATAAAGGCTCATTATTATGTTCATGTGGCAGGACTTAATGTAGCCATAACTCCATCATTGTACCCATAAGTTTTCAATGTTTTGCTATTTCATAAAAACTTTTTGTGAAAAGTTTATGTAGAGTTCTTTGTTTGCTTTCATTAACATTTTGAGGATGCATACCTGGTACTGGGAACATTGGGTTAAATGTGAACAATTTTGTAGCTCTAGTTGAAATAATTCAGAAAAATGGCAGTAGCAGCTTAATAAGTAGCTATTTCAACATAATTGCCAAAATTGATCATTTTAAAGTATCTTTCCTAATCTGATGAGTTTTTATTGCTACTTCCAAATTATTTTCATTTTTACTTCTTTAATTAGAAGAGTTCTGAGCAATGTTTCAGGTAATTATTAATAATTTCTATGTCAAAAACACCTGTATGTCTTAGTCTTACAGATTTCAGTCAGTTCCTTACCAAGTAGATATGTTGGATTTTTAGAGAAAATTTATGGCAACAGTTGTCATTTTTCCTCTCATATGTCTTCTTTAATTTGTTCCCTTCATGTATGTATTTCTCTTTCTCACTCCAAACTGAATTATCTGCTTTCTTCCTATTCAGTCTTTTCTCTTCCTATTTTCACCTCAGATGGTAAGGATACATTTACCATTTCTCAAACTTATCTGTTTTTTCCTCAGTAGTCTCATTCCATTCAAATGTCAGCCAATTGAAATAGAGTAAGGGTTCATTCACTCATCCAGGTAATTTCATCCTCAATCAAATCATGTATATATCTTACCTTTGAGTCATCATACTTTCAAATAAGATAAATTGATTCTTAGTAAAAGAGAAGTAAGCCTAGCCTTTTCTAATGAGAAGGCAAGTGAATAGCTATAAAACCTTTGAGTAACCAAGCAGTTTGGGAAAGGGCAAAAAAGGCAGGGTTAATGAGCTTTTTATTCTTCCTTTCAGAGAGCGGAGAATTTTCTCAAGATAAACCTCTTGAATGTAATGAATATGACTATCAGAAGGCCTTCAGGAGCAAGAAGCATTGTGCTGTATATCAGAGACTGCATACTGGAGATAAACCTTATGAATGTGCTGAATGTGGGAAGGCCTTCAGGGATAAGACACAACTTACAATCCATCACAGAATTCATACTGGAGAGAAACCTCATGTATGTAGTGAATGTGGTAAGATTTTTAATAGGAAGTCAAATCTTACTGTGCATCAGAGAATTCATACTGGAGAGAAACCTTATGAATGTAGTGAATGTGGGAAGACCTTCAGGTATAATGGAATACTAACAGTGCATCACAGAATTCATACTGGAGAGAAACCTCATGAATGTAGTGAATGTGGGAAGTCTTTCAGGTATAACGGAACACTAACAGCACATCAGAGAACTCATACTGGAGAGAAACCTTATGAATGTAGTGAATGTGGGAAGATTTTTAATAAGAAGTCAAATCTTACTGTGCATCAGAGAATTCATACTGGAGAGAAACCTTATGAATGTAGTGAATGTGGGATGGCATTCCGGGAGAAGAAAAAACTTACACAGCATCAGAGAATTCATACTGGAGAGAAACCTTATGGATGTAGTGGATGTGGGAAAGCCTTCAGGACGAAGATACAACTTACAGTGCATTACAGAATTCATACTGGAGAGAAACCTTATGAATGTAGTGGATGTGGTAAGGCCTTCAGCTATTTGGGAGCACTAACAATGCATCAAAGAATTCATACTGGAGAGAAACGTTATGAATGTAGTGAATGTGGGATGGCATTCAGGGAGAAGAAACAACTTACACAGCATCAGAGAATTCATACTGGAGAGAAACCTTATGAATGTAGTGGATGTGGGAAAGCCTTCAGGAAGAAGATACAACTTACAGTGCATCAGAGAATTCATACTGGAGAGAAACCTTGTGAATGTGGTGAATGTGGAAAGGCCTTCAGGAGGAAGGGACATCTTACTGTGCATCAGAGAATTCATGCGGGAGAGAAACCTTATGAATGCAGTAAATGTGGAAAGGCCTTCAGGAGGAAGGACCATCTTACTAGTCATCAGAGAATTCATGCTGGAGGGATGTGATGAATGTGAAAAGACCCTCCTGGATAAGACACAACTTATACTGCATCAGAGAATTCATATGGAGAGAAACCTTAGAAATGTAGTAAATGTTGAAAGGCTTTCAAGAGTAAGTCACATTTTACTGATCATCATAGAATTCATACTGGAGATATGCGTTGTGAATATAAGGAATGTTGAATGGGTTTTCTCTACTACTCAGATCTTACTCTGCATCACAGAATTCATACTGGAGAGAAATCATATCAATGTAATGAATGTGGAAAGGCATTCAGCAGGAAGGACTACCTTAGTAGTCATCAGTGAATTTATACTGGAGACATCATTAATAAATTTAAGGAGTATGAGAAGGCTTTCCCCTACAACTCAGATCTTATTGGACATCAAAAAATTCATACTGAAGAGAAGCCTTGTGTATGTAATGAATATGGGAAGATGTTCAGAGTGAGGACACAACTTACTCAACACTGTAGAATTCATTTAGGAAAGGAGCTTTAAGAGTGTAATGCATAGAGGATGGCTTTTAGATTGAGGACGCTACTTTATGTCCATCAGAGAATCATCCTGGTGTGATTCATCATGAATGTAAGGATTGTAGGAAGGCCTTTCATTGCAATTCAGGTCTTAATTAGACATCAGAAATTCATGTTAGAGGGGCAGCTAGGTGGCGCAGTGGATAGAGCACTGGCCCTGAAGTCAGGAGGACCTGAGTTCAAATCCGGCCTCAGACCAAACATGATACGTACTAGCTGTGTGGCTGTGGACAAGTCACTTAACCCCATTGACTATCCAAAAAAAAAAAAAGAAATGGCTAGCAGGTGGATTTCAAAAAAACTTAGAAATACCTACATGAACTGATCCTGAATGAAGTGAGCAAAACCAGGAGAACATTGAACACTGGAGAACATTGAACACTGTAACAGCAACATTGTGTGATGATCAACTTTGATAGACTTGGCTCTTCCAGCAATACAGTGATATAAGACAATTCCAGAAGACTCATGATGGAAAATGCTATCCACATCCAGCAAAAGAACTATGGAATCTAAATGTAGATCGAAGCCTACTATTTTTTTGTATTTTCTTTCTTGTGGTTTTTCCCTTCTGTTCTGATTCTTCTTTCACAACATGACTAATGTGGAAATATGTTTAATATGATTTTACATATATAGCCTATACCAGATTGCTTGCCATTTTGGGGAGAGAAAAAAATCTTGGAACTCAAAATCTTATAAAAGGGAATGTTGAAAACTATTTTTACATGTAATTGGAAAAAATAAAATAATATTAAGTGAAAAAAAAAAGGCTGGTACAGCATCTTGTTCTGTAGAATCTTAAAACCAGATCACACTCAAGACTCTTCAGTCTAGCCAGATGGTGCCTTAGCTGTTTGGGAAGAGGAGGTAGAGGGGAAGCGAGATTTCATGGTAGAACCTTGACAGTGAGTCATGGATTTGAGGGATCAGCAGATCTAGTGACCTCTGTAAAGTTACCCTACCTTCCTGTTCTTCAGCTTTGCAGAGATTTTTGTCCTGAGAAATCTAGGATACATTGCCCTTTGGCCCAGAGATTTCTCCTTTCCACTTCCCCTTCCACGCCTGAACTCCCTGAGCCCTGATGTAAGTGATTTCTGAGCCAGCTTGACTACTTGCTTTGTGTCATCTGAAATGATTAGAGCTCATTGGGAAAGGCCTTCTGACCCACTGTTCTGTGGAACCTTGGATAAGTTACTTTACCTATCTGAGCTCTCCATCTGTAAAACAACAGACTTTTATTAGATGAGCCCTACAGATCTTTTATTGGACGTGGGGACACTGATGGAGCCCAGGAGAGTTGAGTTAAACTCTCCCATTCCCACAATAGCAACAAGGGCTGTTGTGAGCAAAGGAGGTGTTAAAGAGCAGACCTGGAGCAGTTTGAGTTACATTTCCTCCCCAGTGGATTGATTTGGGATCCACTTAGGGACTCTGAGGCATGGAGAATATTTGAAAAAAAAAAAAGCAGTGTTGGGAGAGGAACTCCTGACAACCCAGGCAACCTTCTATTTGATTGTTTGATATTCCCTTGTCTGCTGATTGTACCTGGTTTTACTCTTTTGGACTGTGTTTTGCAGACATGGAGTGTCAACTCTGCCTCAGTTTCTCTAAAAATCTGCAAAACGGGGATAATAACAGCTCCTCCTTTCCAAGGTATTTACATCACCATAGAGGCTTCTCCAGAGCTTTTCATTCCTCCCTAGACTTCTAAGATATCTCCCCTTCCACCAGTCTCTCAGATGAGAACTTTGCTTCATATGTCATTCAACATATATGCTATAAATATTTTTGTAAACATAGGTCTTCACCTCCCTCTTTGTGTTTCTGTCTGGGCTACAGAAATAGGAGTGGTATTGCTGAGTCTAAGAGTATAAATAATTTTAAAGCCCTTTGGACATAGTTCCAGATTGTTCTCCATAATGGTTATATCAGTATACAACTTCACCAGTGGTACACTAGTGTTTTTGTTGTCCCACATTCCCCTCCAGCATTTGTTATTTTCCTTTTCTGTCATATCAGCCAATCTGATAGGTATGGGATGGTAGCTCGGGACTTGTTTCAATTTGCATTTCTCTAATCAGTAGTGATTTAGAGCACTTTTTTCATATGATTATGGATAGCTTTGATTACTTTGTCTGAAAACTGCCTGTTCATATCCTTTGACCATTTATCAATTGAGGAATGGCTTTTATTTCTATAAATTTGACTCAGTTTTCTATATGTATGAGAAATGAAGTCTTTATCAGAGAAACTCACTGTAAATTTGTTTTCACAGTAATGATTACCAACTGTGTATTTCCCTCCATCCTGTTTTCCCCCATTTATTCTACTCTCTCTCATTTGCTTCTGACTTTTGCCTCCCCCAAACTGCTCTCCCTTTAACTGTCCCACACACACCCTTCTCTTATTCCCTTCCCCTTCTACCTTGCTGTGCTGCGCGGTGCTCCCAGCCCGGCACGATACACCTTTCTGATCAATCATCCAGGTTGTGTTGGGCTGGAAATTTCTTTCACTCTGTCTTTTTGTGGGTTCTGCTGCTTCAGAATTTGTTTAGAGCCATTTTTTATGAGTATTTGGAGGCGTTTGGAGGAGAGCTCAAGCAAGTCACTGCTTTCCCTCTGCCATCTTGGCTCCGCCTCACGGCAGTCATTTTTGAGTCCTGTCTGACTGTGATGCCATTTGGGGTTTTCATGGCAAAGATACTGGAGCTGTTTGTAGTTTCCTTCTCTAGCTCATTTTACAGATGAGGAAACTGAAGGAAACTGGCTTAAGTGACTTGCCCAAGATCAGGCAGTATATGAGGCTAGATTTGGAACTGAAGAAGATGAGTTTTCCTGACTCAGGCATGGCTCTCCACTGCACCACCTAGCTGCCCAATCAGAAAGCTACTGATGCCCTAGAATGGAATGATACGGTTTGACCTAAGATTTTTGAAGATGAATTTGCTAATTGTGTAGAGAATGTGTTTGAAGAGAGAAAGAATGCCCGTGTGTCTGTTTAGTTCTGGGCCTATGATTTTATCCTTATGGGGAATTCAGTGTGGAGGTTACCTATGCTCATCAAGATGGACAATTAACTCTGTAAATGATTATCCTAGACCTCGACAAACCATGATTCCAGGGTACTGCAGATAAGCATGCTGCTCTGCTCATCTCTTTCTGGAGAGGTGATGGATTTAAAGTACAAAGTGAAACTTACATTTTGAGGTGTGACCAAAATGTGTTTGTGTGTGTATATATATTATGTAGGTTATACTTTTCTTTTTAGTCCCATGAAGGAGAAGAAAAAGTAATTGCTAAAAATAAAAGTGAATTTTTTAATTAAAAAAAAACCCTCCTGTAATGAGAGTCTATAGAATGTCTGGACTTCCTGAGATCAATACACGTAGACCACCATTACATAAGGGTCAGCTAGGTGGTGTAATGGATAGAGTGCCAGGCATGGAGTCAGGAAGACTTATCTTTCTGAGTTGAAATGTGGCCTCAGACACTTAGTGTCTGTGTGATTCTGGGCAAGTCACTTAACCCAGTTTGTTTCAGTTTCGTCATCTGTAAAATCAGGAGAAAGAAATGGCAAACCGCCCCAGTATCTTTGTCAAGAAGACCACAGATTGGGTAATGGTCAGATCTAACTGAAGTCACAGAGCAACAGCAAGAACAGTGTATATTCATGTGTAGACGGATGTGTGTACAAACACACTTCTGTGTGAGCTGTTTGGAGATTTGTTGGAGTCTTTGTCCTTGTCACCTGTGTTGAGCTCAATGCCTGGCACGTAGTAGATGCTCAATAACTTTGTGATCATTTGATTGGTTTGAAGGGCTACCCCAGGCAAGAAGGATTAGAATTCCTTATTTTGGCTCCAGAAGGTAGGATTAGCAATAATTGCTAAAAATTGCAATGAGGCAAATTTAGGTTTGAGTTAAGAAAACTTGCCAGTAAGACCTATCTGAATGTAGAATTGGGTTTCCTGAAGAGGTAGTTGGGACCCTAGGGAGCATTCAGGTGGCCTCCTTGGAACACCTGGAAACTGATCCCTATACCCAGGGCTTACTTAAACACAGCAGCACAAGGTGAGGAACAAGAACAGCATCCTTATACTTCAGAACATGTCCAGTAACCATGAGTCAACACTGTCTGTCCTGAGTGGGAAGTCATACCTCCTTCCCTCTCTCAGTCTTTTTTCCATGTCTTGCTAGATGGTGGAGGCAGAAGAAATGGTACAGATTACCAGCAAGAGGAGTTAGGAACATGTATGAGGCTTTGTTCCCATAGGCAGATGGCAGAGAATGTGGAGAAATGATTTATCATGAAGATGATGGCAGATGATGCTAATGCAACATGTTAAGGGAACTGGAGATAGTGGGAGAAGTGTTTCTCCAGTGCATCCCCTGTGACATAGACCTGCATTGATGCGCCACTCCCAACGTTCATATGGACTTTGTGTCTCACCTGTGGTGGAGCCTTCTGAGCTCATATTGGTCTGATCAGCCACTGTTGGGCACACTACTTTTTTTTTTAAAGATTCCTTAATTTATGTATTTTTAGTTTTCATCATTGAGTTCACAAACTTTTGAGTTCCAAATTTTCTCCCCATCTTGTCCCTACCCCTACCCCAATACAGCATGCATTCTGAATACACTTTACCATAATCTGCCATCCCTTCTATCTCTTCCCCCTGCTCCATCCACCCTTCTCTTATCCTTTTCCCCTTCTATTTTCCTATAGGGCAGGATAGATTTCTATATGCAATTGCCTGTATATCTTATTTCACTGTTGCATGTGAAAACAATTTTAAACATTTGCTTTTAAAACTCTGGGTTCCAAATTTTCTTCCTCCCTCCCTCCCCTCCCACCCTCATTGAGAAGTCAAGCAACTTGATGCAAGTTATACATGTGTAGTCATGCAAAATACTTCCATAATAGTCACCATAGTAGTCATGTTGTAAAACACTGAATTCATTTCCCTTCAGCTTATCTCCCTCCCCCTCCCCGTTTATTCTATTCTCCCTGTCCCTGCTTAGAAATGTTCGCTTCTGATTAACCCCTCTCCCAATGTGCTGTCCCCTCTATCATCCCCCTCCTCTCTGTTCCCCTTCCTTCCTATTTTCCTGTAGGGTAAGATAGATTTCCATATCCAATTGAGTGTGTATGTTATTCCCTCCTTAAGTCAAATCTGATGAGAATAAGA